TGGAAGGGACTTGCCGACATGCCCAAAATGAGAATGTCACAGAATGCCAAACAAAGCTGGACAGACATCACAGCAGCATGGCAGTTGATGTGGGAAGCTCTTACAAGAGCCGGCTTTTCGCAAGCCTTTCGGTTTCGCCGCCGAAAACAGAAGCGGGAAGACAAAATAAAGCTATTAAGTGGAGAGGCTAGATCCGCGCAGTGCATGTGCCACCAAAGTCCATAGTGCCCACAGCGCTGCAATCCCACGTTGATTGTGACTGTGGAGACCGATTGCCGATTCTCCGGCTGATCCTGCACACATCAAGCAGGTAGTGGAAGCAGGTTTTGCACCCGCAGCGTCTTGTGCTTCACCTTAGGATTTTTGGATCGGAGTGGAAGTACTGGTGACTTAGGGACCGCCGACTGATCCGACTGATCGCAGATCATCACATCCAGTCCAAGTGAAAGATAGTCCAATCACTCCAATCACTTGCCATGATGAACCCATCGCAAATGAGTAAGTCACAAGTCCATGGTGGACCAATCACCCACTAATCACCCTGTAATCATCTCCCAAGTCCAAGATCGTCCAATCGCTTGAGGCTGCTTCGGGTCTCGCTGCGCCTCTAGTCACCAGCTGCGGCATCAGCATTGCGGCCCTTCCACACTGGTGGGATGAGGATGGCCAGGGACGGGCAGTGCAGGGCGGGTCTGGTGACATGCCAAGGTAGCCTTTCTGACAGATCCTGGAAGATGAGTTCTATATACATGTTTCGTGGTGCTAGTGATATTTTGTTCAGGGATGACATGATTGAGATGAGATTAGAGGTCTGCGCAGTCCACGGTTCATATTTTCTGATATTGCCATGATTGTGAGTTTCAAATGGATTTTTGAATGCGTTTGGGTTCCGAATTTGCGCGACGTGCATCAGCCCTAGGCTTCGTCCCTTTGGGGACCGCCACCTTCGAAGGGGCAATGGCAACTCGCCAAGCTCCACAGGACCAACGTGGCCCACACCTCGGCATGTGGGTCTCATCGAGCACAAGGCGGGGGATCTGACACCAGCTGTCTTCCGGTTTGTGGTATGTTCGGATGGTCGCAAGAGTATTGAACCTAAATTCATGTCGAATTGTTAGGTCTTTGTACCAATACTGTTTTAATGCTGAAGTCAAATTTCATCTCAAAGGTCAACTGAATCAGAGTTGCTGGCGTCGGAACTCCCTGCAGGTTGGCAACCGCAGCCCGTGCTTTCAGACCCACAGCTTGGCTCTCCGGGTATTTTTTCCGACTCGGTAGCATTGTAACATGAGTATTTTGAACAGTCTGAAAGACTGCTTGTTGTTTGCTCAGCTTCGAACCTTGAACTTGAGAGGTCTGCGTAGTTCCTTTTATTCTTTTTGTCTCATGTTGCCTTTTGGATGGTGCCGCGGCACAAAGTCAGTGCCAAACCATCCATTTTTGTGGGGGTTAATGAGGCACTTACCTAGATGGTACATGATACAGTCAACGTATCCACCTAGGAGCTCTGTTGGAGGCGCCAGGGGAAATTCCACGGGCCGAGACGTCAATGTGCCCATATGTGCTCTTAGTGATGCTGAAGATGAAAGGGAACAGGTTTCTGCACGTCACTGCCTTCAGCAAATTTGGTGAAGTCGAAGTTCATCGGAAGGTTGTTTGTTAAAGTGCATGGCAATTGCAGTAACAGCAGCTACCATAAAATCTGATATCATATCTATTCATGTCTATCAAGCATGTTGATCCAATGTCACCCAAGATACCGCCGCCAAAGACCCATGCCAGGCTACGCGTGAATGCGGTATCAGCCATGCAAGCGACCTCCCAGACAAAAAAGGCAATCGATCGGAGAGCACTGGCTTTGACTGAGAAGTTGTTGCTTTTGAGGTTTGAAGCTGCTCAGTTTTGCAAGTTGTTTTTCCTTGGTTAACCGTAGTCAGTCAACCTTACGTTCATGCAGCCATGCAGTATACTATGCATGTAGTATCTTATGTAGCCAGCCAGGTAGTGTATGCAGTTTTCGATGCGGCTTAGTTCATGTTTTCATGGGGTACAGTTCTGTTTTCAGTTCTGCACATTTTCAGCTGAGAAAGGAATGCATATTCTGCTCGAAGGATGGGGGCTTAGATGTGTTTAAGTAAATGTTGGCAGATCGAGGGAGTTTACCGCAACGATTGACCTATTTGTTGGCCTATATATTGAATTACATTTATACATTTTGACATATCTACTGATGTATCTATTTGTCCTTATGTATCCTTATAAGTCTATCTGCTTCTACCTCTCTATTTGATAGTTTGTCTGTCTCTGCGTGTTGCAGCCCTGGCCCGTGCAATAAGAGATGCAGCAGGCCGCCGGTGTGGTTTCAGCGGAAACATCTCAACCCTTGATGCTCGATGCACATCCGCCCTTTCCACTCCTAGCTGAAGATCATTGAGACCCGGCAATTGTCAAAAGCGGGTCTTCATGCAAAATTCACTGCAATCCATGTGCAATTCCTGCAATCTTCATTACCATGAAGCGATGTCATGAGCATTTTCGACGCTGCGCCCTTCGTAAGGGCTGGGTCTGGCACTTCGTTTCTGAACCAACTCATCAATGCGACAGTGCTTTACAAGAAACGGACATGATCATACTTGTGCTGACATGAAGCGTTTCAGTGTGGTTGTTTCTGCTCCATAAAGCCAAGACTGCAGAGCGCCGCTTGGTGGAAGCCACCAAGGCACGTTCGGACAAAGTGCAGATGAACAGCACTGAATTGTACGCACGTGGCAGCAAGACTGCGGGCACAAAGCGAATGCAGCCAATCCATCATCATCATCATCATCATCATCATCCATTTGTCAATTCATCCATCCATCCATCCGTCCACCTATTTGTGCATCCATTGTCCATCATCTATCAAGAGTCTGCTGTCAAGTTTGTCAAGGCTTGGGAAAGCCAATGGCCGGCTGAAAATGGCCGGCCAGAGGTTTGGCAAGGTTCAGCACAAGCTCAAGGGCCTTTGAAAGCAAGGAGCCGACTTCAGCATGGGGTGGACAGGCCAAGCACATAGCATGGAGAACGCGGCATATAACGTGCCAACTGATAGGTTTCAGCTCTAACATGCTGCAAAAGGCATGCAAATTGCGAAGTTCCAGGTGGAACATGCTGCATATAGAATGCAAAACGGTAGATCCAGTTCCCGTATTCCAGTTGCAAAATGAGACGGACCTCCCCCATTTAGGCTTGTCGCAGTTGGGGCAGCTACTGGGAGGTAGAGATGCTTCAATGCCAGGACATGGATGATTTTTGGACACCACTGTCATGTTTTGATCATCTTTGTGGTGTACCCCGTGATGATGATAATAGTTTTGGGCACTGGGGCAGGGAACCAAAGATACCCGGATTTTTCCTTTCCTTTGCTAATGATCAGGCCCCTTTGATTTGTTCCCTCTCCGCGCCATTTCCATTTTCCATTGCGTGCCCTCAAGAAGTTGATTCGCTTGAGCCCCCTTTCACCCTGCAAGAGCTTTGTTTCGACCTCATTCCCAAGCATTGAGCCTCACCAAAAACTGCTTCCTGGCACAAAGGAGTAATCATCTCAGAGGATACGGAGCTGCCACCAGCCATGCTAGTGGCATGCGAGGCCGCAATGCTTTCACAATTTGCGCCCCAAACTGAGCGAAAGCCAGGCGCTTTGGGATCTTCTGAGGTTGGCTTAGACTGGAGGGAGCCGTTTGATCCTTTGGCCTGGAAGGCTCTGACTTTTCGGTGGAAAGTTGGCCTGGCAGGCACCAGCCTGATGGGCGCTTTCCTCGCGATCGGGGCAGCGTCCTACGCGGTTGTCCCTGCTGGTTCTGCAAATGTAACTTGGTTATGGCGGGAGCATGCGGGAGCCATGGGGTTGGCGATTCCAACCGCACTGCCCGCACGATCTGAGGTAATGTTCATCGAGCTGCTCGGGGCTTTGGGACAAATTGGGGCCGGATCAGAGCTGCAGCAGGTAATGGCTTCTCTGACGCGCTCCCCCAGCTGCAAGCGGGGTCGGTGGATATTTGCTCTCGTGTTTCCGGCCTTCTTGTGCTGGCCTCTTGGCTTCTTGCTTTCTTGCTCCTGCCACTGACTTTCTTATGACTTTCTTATTTTTCTTATTCTTTTCTTGCTCCTTGTGATCCTTGTGTCGTGCCCCCTCTTCTGTGACGCTCTCTGACGCACTCCTCTGCCATCGGCGTCGGCGGTCAGCATTCTCAAAACAAAGACATAGTGGGACCAAGCAGCTTGGCTACTTGCGCATATTGCAGGCGCGGCATCCCAATGCTTAAACAAAGCTCAAACAAAGTTCAAAATCAAGTCCTAAGCATAGATTTAACAAAGCGACACGAACAAAACCTAAAACTAATGAAATACAGGTTTGTCTTCAGGCACCAGATGGCAAGCAATCCGATAGGGCAAACATAGGGAGGCCATTTTGCAAAGCAGTGTGAAAACTTCAAGTATAGTTTGGTTCATACTATCAATGCGCCAGTGAATAAAGAGGGAGTCATTCAAAGGATTCTGCTGCGAGCTTGATGCTCTTGAGACAAACCCAACCGAGCAAATCAAACCCCTCCACCATCCTCCACCTTTGGGGCTCCCTGAAATCCTGTCAGGATCTACCCTAAGATTCATCATGGTTCATGTCAAGAGCATCTCAGGAGTTCTTCAGGCATATAACAGACACATGTGGATTAGAAATATTGCATCTCCTTCAAACACGGTGTTGTTACGTCAGATCTACACGTGTCAGACATGCATCCGATATTACACATGTGACCATATGTGTCCGGATGGTGTATGTCAGAGATGTTTTTGTTCTTAGAAAGGAAAACCTATACCCCAAAACGGACATGTATACTGGATGTACATCAGATTTATGTGAAACACCTGAAATTCATGTTAGCATATTAATACGTATTAATACCATTTGGGTGAGACGTCCAATGTTCATGTCAACTGCTTGTTTGTGGTTACTGACGCTTCAGGATGTGCACAATTCGGTCCTCAAGGTTTGTAGCTTAGCGTTCTTTGAGCAATTTCCTGGTATGCTTCGAAATATGAAGGACCCGGGAAACGGGAAACAAACGGGAAACGAATGGAACCGGACCCGGGTGTGTTCAGCGAGGTCTTTGTTTGGCACGTGCAGCCCAACTACAAACAGCCCTGGTGTTCCGACTCGCAGACGTCGTGAGAACCTCGGCCGTGTCACAAAACCGGAGCTGGGCTGTTCAGCTGTGGAGAGCTTCGGAAAATCTACTTATCTACGGCATCACAGCCCAGCTGGAGCAAAGATTTTCCGAAGCTCTCCACAGCTGAACTTCGATCTCAAACTGTTCAAACTGGTCTGTTTTACTTCGTGGTTTTACTTCGTGGCGCAGATCCACCTCTTCAGCATGGCCGATCCGCTTGGACGGCGCTCTGAGAGTATCAGCCTCAACTGCCGTCACAATGTGCACCGCTTTGTTGAGGTCGTGACTCTCAATGACTCAACCGTTGAACAACCGTTGAACGGTACTGAAAAAGTCTGAAAGAGACGGCACTGCTTGCTGCAAGGACAGTCACGATCAAAATGGTTGACCACAGTATTGGAGTTTTTTGTCAGAGATGTGCACGAAACACTGCAAAGCGATAGGGCCCCCCCAAAAGCGATAGCCTGGGACTATACACGACAGTCCATTAAACTTGGCGTCAATCAAGCAAATACTGTTGTGCACATTCACAAAACGCGCAAAACCGATGAGGGAAATTCAACCTGTGGTGCCCTGTTTCCTGCAGTTACCATCTCATTTGGCATCCAACTCGCTCGCTCTCTTTCTCTCTCGCTCTCTCTCTCTCTCTGTGTTGTTTTTGTGGCAAATGTCCTTTGAACATCTTTGAACAATGTCATATGTGGAGGGGTTATTTAGCGATAAGCTTAGCGATAACTTTGCGATAACCATTTGTTGCACTCGGTCCCCTGGCCAAGCCATAGAGCCATTTCCATAACTTTAGAAAGGAAATGAAAGGATATGAATGCAACATGAAAGGAAAATGCATGCAAATGAAAGGAAGATGAAAGGACATCAATATACATCAATGCACATTGGAATGAACATGAAAGGAAAACACATGTAAATTAAATTAAATGAACACAAAATGAAAGGAACATGAAGTGTTGCCGAAGCACCTGAAAACCAACAAAACAACTCCTCGATCCATTTCCGAGCCCGTTTAAGAATGGATTTTGGCTTCACGTTGGACCTCGAATATGCTGACACAAACCCTGGAAAGCGATAGGCCCCCCCCCACAAGAGATAACCATAAAAATAGCAACTATACTCAGATGTAAAGGATTTTGACGGGAGCTCACATGATTTCCAAATTGATGCAGCTTTTTCATTTGCAGTGCTCATGTCTTACGTGCACAAAAATGAATTTATCCTGAACATCAGGAAAAATGTCAATTTGAAGATGTCTGATCAGCCTGTTTAGGTCGTGACCAATGCTCACTCAGTCGAGCATGCGGCGCTTGTGCAGGCTGTAGATACTGTGGACACAGATTATGCGGACAGTCTTTGGCAGATTGCTGTCAATACATGTGAGCATGGTGCAACCGTGCATTTGTCTAATGCAAAACATATCATAACATATAATTATCTAGATAATACTAAATAATTCTAAATATAACTTCGGTGAATTCCTCGGTCAATTCCCTTCGCCAGCTTGGCAAAACACAGCAAAGCTGCCTGACCGCGCAGCGTCAGGTCAAGAGGCACCGCCACGAACAAAAGTTTGTGGCAAAGGCCTGGCCCTGGCCGTAACAAAGACACAATTTAAGTGACACAATTTGTGACACGAAGGTCATCAGCAATTTGTTTGCAGATGAATGTCAACACTTGTCAACTGCATATGAAAAGACAGTTGAAGAACTGTTGATCTTCCGAAAATTCTTGACGCATCAGAGAGGCTTTGCAGAGGTGAGGCACACTGATCATGTTGAACGCGGCGACCGTGGCATACCGTGGCAATGGTAGGTCCTTTGCATTGGTACTGATTGCGACCTGGCTCTGTTGGACGTGCCTTACGATGAGTTCTGGAAGGCATGGCTTCTGGCCGATCGACTCAGGTGAGGGCATTTCACGTTGTGTTTTTTCCCAAACAAGTCACACCATGTTACAACGTGTTACACCATATCCGCCATATCATATTACACTATGTTACACAACTTTTAATTCTGTTTTATCATGGTTTATCCTTCGGTGGCTAGCCTTTCTTTCATCTTTTCGAATTCAACAACCAGAAGGAACTCATAGCTTTCCAAATTTGACCAGCTTCACCTCTTTGAGAATGAGCCTTCGAGAACTTCATTGCTTCATTGTTGACAGCGGATTGAGAAGTATGCAGATTTCTTTGTTGAAATTTACACTGCTGAAGGCCTGAAGGGGTTGCTGTTCAAAATGGCGCGCATTATTCTCAATGGTCGCTTTCATGGTGGTATTCATGCGCACATATGCGCACTATTGTCTCAACGGTAACTTGGATATCACGTCAAAGATGTTTTTGTCGCGTATTTGCTGTTTGTGCATCACCGTCATGCAGCGTGTTACTAGTACCCTTGAACAATGCTCGTGCTGATATTCATTCTCTGCAATAACATCATCATACACTGGTGCGCACTACTAATTCGCATAAATACTTTTCAAATCTTTTTGATGTGTAGATTGTGCTCACATTTGTCCACAATGTGCAAGGGCCTCGAGCCATTGGACATTTTGCCGGGCTTGCCCAAGCTGCAGGCGCCAGACTTGAAACTTGAAATTCGAGACAAATCTCAAGCTGCAGAAGACAAGTCGAAAAAACAAGTCTCATACGACAACAAGTCTCTTATCTCAGATGACTACGCGTTGGAAAGCATTTCGAAAGACTCTGTCGCGGTGACAGAGCAAAACTGCACAGAAGCCATGAAACAATGAAACAAGTTACAAGATGTTACAAGCTAAATTCTTGTTGCCCAATTCCGTCAAAGAACGGGCATTTTGTCGATTTTGTGGCACATGTTCGAAGAGTACCTCAAGAAGTGCGAGTTTATTCAAAAAAGCGGCAAGCAAAGGAAAACTGGAATAATATGATAATTATTCGGAATAGAAGTAAAGAATGGGGAAGGACATGGAAGGATCTTTTACTTTTCACTTTCTTTCACAGCACAAAGCCAACCTGCAATCCGCTGTGTGCAGGACAGTGTCTCAGTGGTGGGATATCCCACAGGCCACATGAGCTTCGATTGCGGCATTGCGGCATTGCGGCATCACCTCTACAATCTCTGCCATGTCTGTTCACACACAGTTCTCTGAGAGTTCTCTGCCATGTCTGAATCCCACGGGTCATCTAGTTGCCTGGTACACTGCATGTGAACTTTTAATCTTGTTTTTAATTTCCTCTAATACCTTTCCCCTTTTTGTTCGATAATATATATATATATAAGCGAGTTTTGAAAAATGTTAATTACAACAAGTTTGCCTTATGGCATTATATGGCATTATTTCATTTGATTTCTTCGGATTTGATTTGTTAACTCAGGAGGTGAAAGCCTTTCCGTGACGCAGGGGGTTGTGTCACGTATCGACTTGGTGGAGCATCTCGGCGTGTCCAAACCATGTCCAAAGCATGTCCAGGTCGAGCAGTTCAGTTTTTGCATTGCCGCTCTGTAGTTTTTATATGTTCAATCATTTTCCACAGATGATTTCCACAGATTTCCGGTCGCTATTTTCATCTTGGGCTGTCCAGTAAGCGTGGAATTTAAGGAGGCTTCAAGGAATGAGTTTTGGTCATCTATCACTCTATCTATATGCATCTCGTGGGTTTTGGACTAGATGACATAAGGGTTCGGATCATTTCGGATCAAGGTATGCTCAGACTGGGGTCACTTTGTTGGCCGTTTGGCCCTCAGGGTTTATTTTGCGCAGCTCTCCACCAGTCGCGTCACAACCATTCCAAAATATTCCATACCATGAAAATTCATCGATGTTATTCCAGGAAATTTGTTGGAATCAGATCAAATCAGCTGCGTACGCTGCATATTGTTTATATTTGTGTATGCTGCATGATACTGCATGATGCATATTTGCATTTCCTACAGAATTCCTACACTTTGCAGGTTCAGATAGATGCAGCTGGCACCTGAGAAATCCATGAAGAGATGGTCCAGACTTCTGCCGGAATGTTAGCACGTGTTAGCACGTGTTAGCACGAACAAAACAATCTTTGGCTCATTTTGGCTCAGTCTTTCTATGTCTTTCTGATGGTTTTTTCTTAGGCCATCAATTCAGGAAACAGTGGGGGTCCAGTGGTTGATCAGAAAGGGAAATGCTTGGCCCTGAGCATCAGTGAGCATCAGTGAGCATCAGCCTGGAACAGGGCCGTTTGAGCGGGTCAAACCAGGATGACCAGGATGGGTCAAAGCATGCCGTTGGACCAACTTGTTGGAGTCCTTCGAGTGAACGTCATGGACGTATCTTACAAAGATAGGCAAAGTCGGTTTGTCTACGGAAAATAAGGTCTGAAATGGCCTGAATATGGTCAGATTGTTTAGATATGTTTAGATACATTCATTTGTTTCATGCTTGCTCCTCCACCTCCTCGTACTTGGAAAAGATAAGCAGGACAGCGAGGTTGGCACTCTGCAGTCATCTTTGCATATTGAGTTGGAGTTTGGTCAAGTTGTCTTTCAGGTGTTGGCGTTGCATTTCAGAACTTGGATGGCTCAGACGAGGATGGCGCGGAAAACATTGGAGACTTTTCAGAACGAGCAAACTTTGCGTGTCTTGATTTGTCTTGATTTGTCTTGTAAGTTTCTTCTGCTGCCTTTCGTATTATGGTTGCACACTCGTTTGCAAAAGACCTGCTTTCCCGAGCAGGTTTGATACCATTGGAGTCATTGTGCATTGATTTTATTTGCTGTTCTGTTATTCTTTCGCAGGTTTTTTCACTTTTTCTTGTGCTTCTTCTTCTTCTTCTTCCTCTTCTACTCTACTTGCTGTTTTTGCTGATGTTGCCGCTGCCTCTGTTTTGTTTTGGCTGTTCTTCTGTTCTGTGCCTTGTCTATCCTTGTCCCTCTTCTTGTCATTTCTTGTCATCATTCTTGTTCCTGCGGCATATTGTATGCGTCAGACATATTGTATGTGTTTATTCAAAATTGCAGCGTTTTCTGCCCTATTTTCTCTTGCCTTGTTTGCTTCTGACGGATCTGAAGAAGAAGGCCCCCAAGTTTTGCCACATTCCCAGCTAGAGTGACAAACACTGAGGATACATAATTCCCACCGAGATCGTGCGACACTTTCTCGAGGACTACCAGAGGCAGCTCAGCTGAAAGATTTTTTCTGTGGGATTTCTGGTCGTTGTCACGAAAGTTTGCTTCTGCTAGCTGAAACCCCCTCCTGCTTTAGCAAGGTATTGGCAGGGGCTGGAATCGCCAATCACATGAAACTTCACAGTTCATTGCCCCTCTCCTTCCCCGGCTTTTTCACAAGCAGGTTTGCTGTGGCTCAGATATCCCTGGGGACACCGTGGCCAAAACATCGCCGTCAGCATCATCAGCATCATCAGCATCATCAGACTTGACTTGCTCTCCACTTCGCTCTTTCACCACACACCTTTCTCCTTCTGCCTTTATTTCGTCTCATACCCGTGGACACGGCAGGAATGAATACACACCATTCTCTGCGCTTCCCGCCGTTCGGAAGTATGCACACCTGTAATTACTTGTAATTAGCATTTCATACATATAGTCTTTGATGGTTCGTGATGTTTGCTCTTTTTATCTGCCATCTTTGACTTTCCTTGACTATAGTGGCTAGTGGTTGTCTCTCGTCATCTCGTATTGCTTTGTGTACTCACTCTACACATCTCTGCAGCATACCGGGAACATCCGGGAACCCGGTAGTATAGTCCCACACTTCAATAGTCTCCTGTATGGCAAGGAATGTGAAGGGTGCCACTGCCCAGCTCTGTGTTTGTCAGCCTGCGTGGGCCTGCGTGGGATGCACAAATTATTTTTTTTCAAAAAAAGATATGAACAAACTTTGTGTTTGAACTATGTTTGTAGCCCGCTGCTTTTAGACAGCTATCGGCTTTCCCTTGCTTCATTTACCTCGCGTGCCGGATATCAATTTTTACTATCCATTCTCATGTCATTGTAATTGCCTGTGGGGTATTTTGAGGCACTCAGAATTCATAATGATCATAATGTGAAGAAAAGCTCAAGAGGGATTTTTGAGGAGAGCTTTAGAGTTTAACTTTGTTTCCTGTCAGGAATTGTCAGAAGCTCTCAAAAGTGAAACATGTTTTTTGTGTGCAGCTTTTGAATCCGTCGTGTGCTCAGCGCTCTCCCTTTTCATGATATCCTTGCCTTATCTCTGACAATCTCTGACCCTAAGGGCCCTAGTCAAGTTTACACGCCTTTCAGTTTCGCAATGAGGAACGGTCAATTCACAGGCTTTGGCTCAGCTGGCATTCAAACCCAGGCCATGGGGAAAACATGAGAAAAAAAAGAAAACGACTCAGAGAGGATTTGACCAATTTGAATCAATTTGACAGATTTCATTTTTGACAAGTACAAGAAGATTCTAAGAACATCAACAAGCTGTGCCTTGCATGTTGCGATATGTTGCCCAATGTTGCCCATATTCCGTATATTCCTGAAATGTTGGTTCTATATCCGCGTGCGGTGAGATCTAGTGAGATCTAGTGAGATCTAGTGAGATGTAGTGAGATGTAGTGAAGCAAAGCAGGGAATGCTCAGACAGAGATGGGCAGGCTTTGGAATCGCCAGTGCTGCGACAAGCCCTTGGCATGGCCAAGACTCAGCTGGGAACCTGGATGAACCTGGGGTGAACCTGGGTGACAAGCCGCAATGCCAAAAGACACCGGAATGAACAAAATGAAAGAAGACTGAACAGCAACAGCATCAAAATCTATGTGAAATGTGACTTAGATTTTACTTCAAACTGAAGCGTTGAGTAGGATGGGACCAGATGGACCCAGTTTCTTCTTTGTTAAGGCATGTTAAGGCGAGTATCACGGAAGTTCTGGCTGACTGATGCTATTAAAGTCAAAGTATCCCAAATTACACCAGCTCCACAACTGGATGGATATGATGATATAAAGATGATATATGATATAAAGATGATATAAAGATTGTAATCGGTCAAAGATGAAACGAATCCGAAACGATTCCGAAGCGACAGTCGTCAAAGCTGTGCAGGTCTGGGGTCCGTGTCAAGGCCGGCTGAGAGTCGGTTGAATATGTTGAATTCGAAATGTGAACAGAATTTGTGAAAAAATATAACAAAATATGAAAGAATTAGATGATATTAGATTCAACAGATTAGATACTCTAGTCTTTTTCTGTTACATGCATGATATGCATTGTTACATGCATGTCATAAGAAACTCATAAGAAAATTAATGAAAATTGCATCTTGGGCCCAAGCTCTGAGGATCTGAAGTCGGCATAGTCGGCATAGTCGGCATAGTCGGCATAGTTGGCATAGTTGGCATACAGTGATGACGATGGTGTAACGATGGTGTGATAGATTTTTTCGGCCGTTGTGTAATGATGGTGATCTATGGCGTGTCGTGTTCTGCGAACTCAATGCACTCCAGTGTATCGTCAATGTCCTGATCGTGTTCTGTGAAAGTTTGATGCTCTGTGGTGTTGTTTTGTTCTGCGTGAATGTCAGGTCTCAATGAATGCGCGTGTGTGGCAATTGTAGTTATAGTGTGATGCAATGCTGCGCAGTGTGTATCGTAACGTAATTTAGTGTGCTGTAACGTTTATGCAACCTCTGCATGTATGCATATATATGATGTATCGGTGCTCGTGTATAACCAGTACATGTAGACATGCTTTGACGTTTGCATATGTGACATGCACGCAACGTTTTCATTGTAACGTTCAATGTATGTACTTCTGCAACATCGGAACATGGGCATGGCCTGACGATTCACAGTGCTGTGGCCAAGTAAAACCATTTGAGGCAGTGGAACCAGCAAGCCCAGCACATGGTCTACTGCTGCCAGACGACGTGTTGCACTTAGTCGCATGCTCCGGGAGTGGTTTAAAACCTGCCTATTTACCTTGTCACACGCTTCCCCAGATCAGTGCCTTGCCAATGTGACAGTGCAAGTTTGTTCGTTCTGGCACAGTCTGGGGCATTACCCTATTTTCAAGCAAGCATAGAGAAAGGGTGCTTGCGAGGACTGACGGTTCGGCTATATTGTCGCAGTACAGTGTGGCAGAAAGGCAACTATTGACAATTGGTAAGGCTTTGTAGACAAAGAATGACAAAGATACAAAGATGTTTCTTTGTTTGATTTCTTTGTTTGCAAGGCAAAAGATGTCAGGATTTGGCTCAAAACCGAGACAAGTGTCTCAGGTCCCAGGCCACTTGTGACAGAGCAAGGTGGCCATTTGATGCCCTTTGTGGGACGAAATGTGACGAAGATCCACCACGCACTATCGCGAGGAGATAGCAGGAGTAGCCGAGCTCATCGTCAACTGTTCTCGTGGCAACTCTGGAAGCCCTGCGTAAGCCCTGCGTAAGACCTGCTTTCGATGCAACAGTGTGCAACAGGCCGAAAGTGAAATCACGGACTGTATCGAATGCTGAGACTGCACTATGACACATCATCTTCGCGCTTGGGAATTAAGACATATTAAGAACTGATTATTAAGAAATAGTAAGACATATTAAGAACTTTTGACATATTATGTAAGACATTTAGAATTTGCCCTTTGAAAATTGGCGTGCTGGATTCACAATTTATGATGCTTTAGCTGCGCCCAAGCTCTTTTCGCGAAAGGCACGCTCACCAGTCCTATGCTGTTGGAAAGTTGCGAGTTTATCTTCTGTGTTTGGAGAATTTCGGAGATCTGTCGCGTTTGAGAGCCTTTTGGTGCGCTCTGGGACTCCATGTCACATCACATCCACATCGCACAATCCTATCAGCACATCCTGTCACAACCTGCCACCTCCACGTCGCAGCTCCGTTTGGAACTGCATTGTTGAGCGGAGTCTCGCGTCCTGGCGCACGATGGCGCACGACAATCCCAATTTGTTTCCTGTGGTTTCATGAAATCGTGGGTCCTTTGGGTCGTGTGGGTCATTGGAACTGCCAAGGTCCTATTGAGCGTTGATGGATTCAAGGCGGGGCGCAGAAACAGGAGCGGCAGGATCGAAGGACAGCGTCTTGCGAATGTTGCGAATGTTGCGAATGTTCAATGTATCCAAAATTATCCAAATAGGTTGACAAGATTTGACAAGCCAAGATATTCCCTAGCCCTTTCATGTTTCACTTGCGCAAGAGCCCTGACGTTTCGGCAAATTTCAATGGAGGGCCATTTATTTAGGGTTTTTTTTTTTTTAGTTTAGGGATTTTTTTTTGGATTTCTTCCTGCTTACTCTATTGCCTCCTGCAGTGCTTCTCTGCTTCTTTGCTTCTATTCCTTTTTTTGTTTTTCTTGCTTTTCTTTGCTTTTTTGCTTTTTTGCTTCCCTTGCTTTTCTTTGCTTTTCTTTGCTTTTTTGCTTTTTTGCTTTTCTCGCTTTTCTGCTTTTCTTTGCTTTTTTGCTTTTCTTGCTTTTCTTTGCTTTTTTGCTTTTTTGCTTTCCTTGCTTTTCTTTGCTTTTTTGCTTTTCTCGCTTTTCTGCTTTTCTTTGCTTTTTTGCTTCTCTTGCTTTTCTTTGCTTTTTTGCTGTTTTTGCTTTTCTTTGCTTTTTTGCTTTTCCATGAGGTGTGGAGCAACATCAACAACAACAACAGCACCAACAACAACAACAACAACAACAACAACAACAACAACAACAACAACAACAACAACAACAACAACAACAACAACAACAACAACAACAACAACAAAAACAACACCAACAACACCAACACCAACACCAACAACAACAACAACAACAATAACAACAACAATAACAACACTATCAATAACAACACTATCAACACAAACACAACCGCCAGCAACACCACCACCACCACCAACAACAACAGCAGCAACAACAACAACACCACCAACAACAACAACAGCAACAACAGCAACACTAACACAACACTAACAACACTAACAACACTAACAACACTAACAACACTAACAACACTAACAACACTAACAACACTAACAACACTAACAACACTAACAACACTAACACTAGCAACACTAACAACACTAACGGTAACAACAACAACACTAACAACAGCAACAACAACAACACCACTAAACAACAACAACAACAACAACAACACCAACACCAACACCAACAACAACAACAACAACAACAACAACAACAACAACAACAACAACAACACCAACAACACCAACAACAGCAACAGCAACAGCAACAACAACAACGACAACGACAACAACAACAACAACAACACCAACACCACCACCACCACCAACACCACCACCACCACCACCAACAACAACAACAACACTAACGCAACACTAACACAACACTAACACAACACTAACACAACACTAACACAACACTAACACAACACTAACACAACACTAACAACACTAACAACACTAACATTAACACTAACAACAGCAACAACAACAGCAACAACACGACCACCACCACCACCACCACCAACAACAACACCACCAACAACACCAACACCAACACCAACAACAGTAACAGTAACAACAAACAACTGTTGGAATGTCAGCCTTCGGCTTCAAAATCCTGCAAGTACTGTGAGGAATGTAGCTGTAAAATGTTGCACATACGGTGGAAATGCAGATTCCAGCTCAAAAATGCTGCAAAGAGCATGGAAAATGGACAGAACATGCTGCAAACTGTTGCAAATACCGTGGAAAATACAATGGAAAATGAGAGGTTCGAACTCAAAACCGTTGCACATACCGTGGAAATGGCAGTTTCCAGCTCCAAAATGCTGCAAATAGCATGGAAAATGGTGAGAACCGGAAATCCAAAAAAAAATCCCCAAACTAAAAAAAATAAAATCCCCAAACAATTTCCTACCCAATTTCAATCCCAGGTGGGTAACGATGGTGAAGTTGCCATGCCGTCGCAGACCCGGGCAAGTTCGACAACACGGCAAGTTCCAAAGGAAGCTCTCCCTGAAAAAACTCTCCTTTTTGAAATCCGAAGAAAGATCAGTTCTCTTATGGATTTCAATTTTGATTTCAATTTCGATTTCAATTTTGATCGCTCAATACACTCTCAAGGTGGGGACGAATCGCTTTTAACTATTTGCTGAACCAACACTTCCCTGGCGAGACATGCGATTTGCAGGTCGGGTGCAAGTTCAGTTGTGAAACCTAACATGCAAACATATGACATATTTCTACCATATATTTTTGTGTAACATAGTGCATTGTGCATTGTTGGATTTAGTCTGACATTGTTTTTGAACTTCCAGTTCCTCTTCCTCGTTTGCTTTCCAGTTTGAACTTTCCGTGGTGCATGGCACCAACCACGCGCATATGCAAGTCTAAATCTGATGTTTATAAGGTAACACTCGTTTTAACAGACCTCATAGCAATCATAGCAATGTCAATCATATCATAGCAGGGCAGTTGCATAGCCATCGTACCAATTTGTAAAGTTTGTGACAAGGTCCCGTTGATTTTTCCATGCAAGGTCCTGCGAGCTGAGGGCGGTGGCGCTTCGAAGAGAGTTTCTGTAAAGGACAGACCCATATGACCAGATATGACCAGTCTGCATATGGTGCGACAGTATGTGTCAGCTGGTCACTTATGTTTGTTTGTCGCCCACCACTCTTTCCAGTTCGCGAAGCTGGGATGTGAATTACTTAAAACAAAAGGTGTAAGATGGTGTAAGAGTCTAAGGAACATTGAGGAACCAATAATCCAATACACATCCTGCTTGACACAAGTGACTGTCCTAGGGCTTTCCCTCATGCAGAGTGAAAACCCTGTGGACATATCTAGCATACCTCCAGTGTGGCTTGATGGTGAAACAACACAACAAATGCTGCCTGGAATTGGTTGTCTTTTTTTGCCACTGCCTCTGAAATTGGTAGGTTCAGCTTGAACGGAATCGAGACCTTGTTAGTGCAGACGCAGGTTGGGGATTTGAAGGGATGAGTGGAGATGAGTGGAGTAAAGATCAGAAACGGAGACTGACAGAGACACGGGGAAAAAGCAACCCGTGGGAAGACAATAGGCAGGATATGGCAGGATGACCTGAAATGAGGCGATTTCAAGTTTGCAACTCTGGGCTGTGCAAGTTTAAACGTATACAAGTTATAAAGATATGATATATAATAACACTAAATAATATATAATCATAATTACCACGAGATCCAAGAACTTGTAAAAACGTAGGTTCTCAAAAATAAACGATGTTCCGTGAGAAAACACGATGTTTTGGAAAAACACGATGTTTCCATATTTTGCCAAATTGTAACACTGCTGTTAAGTTCCAATATCATAGCTAAACCAGGAAGCTAAGTGTCAGCTGTGACCCTCAATGCAACAGCCAGAAATAAAACGCCAATGCGTAATTGTACAACATCAAGGATTTTTTGTGCCTTGGAGATACATACCACTATCACCTTGTAACAATTGGCTATATGCAATGACAGAAACTGAAACATTCTTTTTTCCCATCTCGGGAGCTCAAAGCAGCTGAATTGCGCCTTTTTTGGCAAGCTGAATTTCTTGATTTCGCAGAAACAAATTATCATTTTCCCTTCTAATTTCAGCCTATTCCGGGAGGTCCAGAACCCATAGATTTCTACGGGTTCTCTACGGGTAGCCACGGGTATTCTATATACGGGTTCTCCACGGGTTAGGACAAAACGATGTTTTGTTAAACCACGATGTTTCCAGCAAAATCCACGGGTTTCCACGGTGATTCTACGGGTCCTCCACGGGTACACCTTACAAAATCCCATTGGTGCCATAAATTACCCGTAAAAGGTGATAAAGTTCTTGAAAAAACATGATCCATGATCTTTCAGAAGTATTCAAAACAATTTGATGCATCGACCGCCCTGGCTGAAATCTTTAAAAGCACCAGTGCTTGGAGTCAGACCCATGCAAAACAGGATACTGTCCCATCATGCTGATGTCACAATATATATGAGGTATATAGTTGTATCTATTGGCAACTCTTAGCTATATCTTGATTTTTCCTGGATGATGGGGCGAGCAAGGACCTTGCACAGGGCATGGAGGGATATCAGATCATATTGAGATGAACAACATACATCATCAAAATCTCCAAATCAGCCATATTGGGAAAACACGATGTTTGCAGAAAAACACGATGTTTTCATATTGGGGCAGCCAAGATACAAATTTGTAGGTTCTAGGTTCCAATGGTAGAACAATGATAATAATCACAATATAAATATTATATATTTATATATATATATACCCAAATACCTCCAAACCCTTGAAATTTCTCGGGTTTGTGAATAAACCTCGGTTTTGACGGGCAATGGAAGGTAAAACCCGGTTTTACCCCGGAAAACCCGGTTTTTGGCCAAAACCCTAGATTTACCCCATTTTTGGCGGATGTGAAGAGATCCAAAAGAATTTGACATTAAGGCTCCGCTCATTTGATTTGACAAACATGGGTGCTGTATGATTTTTTTTTTCGTGTTTTTTTTTGTAGATTCCACCGGAAATGATAACGTTTAATCGACTGACTGCATATTTTTTTCAAAATTGTGCAAGTAAATCTCGGATGGGGATTGCTTCAACCTCAAACCCATGATTCACCCGTGTTATAACCGTGAATAACCGTGATTTACCCGTGATATAACCGTGATTTGCACCCAAAACCTTGGTTTGGGGCAGTTTCTGTCAAAACCGGGATTTTCCACAACCCCTTATTTACCCGTGATAACCCATGTTTTGAAACACGGGTTCGGGCCACCTAACTGTGCTGATATTTTTCACACTTCTTTATGTCATTTTATTAAAAAAAAAGTATGGATGCGCGGAGAAGTCGGACCATTATGATCGGGCAGTCCCGTCGACAGAGCCGAACATATCGGCCCACTACTTCAACATACCTCGTGGATCTTCTAGAACAACAGCCAGCTACAATCTGCAGTGAAAAGGGCAAAACCCGGTTTTACCCGGTAAAACCCGCGTTTACCCCTCACGCCTGGAAATTTCTCGGTTTTGGAAGGGTATCTTAGGCGAAATATTGCCGCTTGAGGAATGCAGCCACTCTGAAGCCGCTTTCAAACATGGAAAGTGCAGGTGGGCCGGACGCTGGTGCTGGTTCTGCAGTACCTCGCTATGTGATAGCAGGAGGCGGAGTGCGTGGGTGCGTGTGTGCATGTGTGTGCCCGGAAAGAAAGCAGAAACTGCCGGGGGCTGAAGAAATTTGCACTTGACAAAGCAAAAGCATCGCCCTTGGAATTTCTAAAATTGGATACACCAGCCTGTGTGAAGACCAATTTTTCCCCACCTGCCAGGTGCTCTAGATTTTATCTCCACTGCAACTTCGCAGTCTGGGGCTAGCCGGACCCGAGCACTCTGCGGCTCGCCGGACACGAACACAGAATATGTGTCAGACAGAACGGCAGAATAGGTTAGGCAAAGTTTCTAAAAGGTATGTCAGAGAAGACGTCAGACAAAATGCCAGAAAACATGTCAGACAAAATATCAGATTCAATGTCAGATTGTTTGCCAGAATATATGTTAGAAAACATATTCAGCATACATGTCAGATAGAGTGTAGACAATGTCAGATAGAACATCAGATATATAAAAAGTCCAAAAGGAAATCAGACAAAGCCTCACAACACATCTCAGATAGTCAGAACCAATATCAGCATTTTTGTCAAACAATGTGAGATAAAATGTCAGAATATATATGTCAAGAAGAATGTAAGATAGAATGTCAGCGAGAATGTCTGAAAAAGGGCCAACAGGTATGGCAGAGAAACTGTCAGACTAAATGCCATACAAAATGTTAGATTTGTGCGCTTCAGGCTGAAATATGGGCTGCCTAGTTGCATCGCCTTGTCCTTCTGAGGGGCCATACTCTTCCATAATTTTCAATACCAAGGCTTGTTGCCACCATACTTTGTTTCCACGGATTTCAGTGTCGTTTCCAGTTTGCCAGCTTCTCTTTGTCTCCTTTCTTTGTCTTTCCGAACAGTTTTGGCAAGATAGTTGTATTCATTTGTATCCTTCCCCTTTGCAAGGGGGCGCTCAGCTGTCTCAGGTGTGGCTTGTTGGTACAGGCTCGCATGGCTTCCGACGTCTTATTTTCTCCCCAAGTTGGGACACTGAGGATTCTTCGGCTCTGAGGAATTCTGCTCAGCGTTTGGTTCTGCCGCTAATCGATGAGCCCCAGACGCAAACTCATCCACTACGCAGAAAGTCGGAATTTTACGTCAGAATATTGTGTCAGATTACCAATGTATGTCAGATAGAATGTCAGATGCCATGTGAGAATATATGTCAGAATATTATAGCACGTCAAGGGTCAGATGAAACGCCAGAAAGCATTCTGGTGGGGATCACTCGAAGTGTACAATACTTGGATGGTCACAGAAGGTCACAGAGTACAGGAGGTCATGCAGGCCAGTTTTATGCAGCCCCATCAGCGTCAAGTCTATAGAGATCTGGAGTTCTTGAATCATCTTGAATCTATAATATGTTGATATATGTTGTGTACGGAAGTGGGATGTAGCGGGGTCTGAATTTTTACACAGGCTATGGCGGCTATGGGTTTAGTTTCAGGGCCGAACGGCCCAACTTTATATATATAATATAATTACATCCCTGATGGGACTGGGTTGATTTTGCACGGAGTCCATTGTGTAGGAGCACAGGTCCCAATTTTATGAACCAATGCAGAGATACCCAGAAAGGGTTCAAAAGCTTTAGAAAGGCTGACCAAATCAAAGACAACAACATGTTTCTGTCCAGAAGCAGTCTCCCTGCAAATTACTGGAAAGTTCATCTGAAAGATGCATTGTTTCTTAGCAAGTGCAATCTTCCTGTGAAAAATATCCAGTCTTCCCACGCTTCCCAAGATGGCACAGCACTCTTCGGAAACAACATTCCTACACGGTATGCAAGAATTATGTGTTTAACAAAAATCACAGTATTCAATGCATGAATGCAGCAGTGATAAAAAAAAACACGTTTTCCTTCAACATGTGTTTTCCTGGGAATATAGACAGGAAAATATGGACATTTTGGTCGTCGCATTTTTTTGAGAAGGATAGTAGGTGCATTTTCTGGTGCTGGGGAATTTTGTTTCACACGTGCTTGTGATTCTTTTTGAATAAGAACTTGAGTCGCTGTCAATGCAGCCTGTATTGAAAGCAAACTCCCTGACTGCATTTGGTGTACGGTAAAATTTGAGAAACCCGGTGGCTATCAATGCAACCTGTTGGAATGATATGCAGCTTGATAGGGGAAGCTGTGAGCCACCTTTTTTTGGGGGAAGAGTTTGACACCACCAGAAACACGTGCGCTCACAGCACCCCTTTTTTGAAATCAAGTGGGAGAAATGATTAAACGAGTTGATCCAGCGCAGTCCTTCGATGTCCTTATTCCTGTTTGGTATCCACAGGCCATCTGCAGTGCAAAGGAGATATTTCATGTCTATCTGATCTCCTTGAGATCCACAAAGCCGAATCAGAGAGATTCGGCCGGTGCATATAAGCCGCCACACAATGCACAATTGAACCGCTGGAAGTCGAATCCAGGAACCGTGGGGCGAGACTAAAATCTGGCTGTTTAAGATGACGCTCTGGGAGTACACGGCTGTGCAATCCATTTTGTGGGCTGACAAACAAGTGTAACAACAAACAAGATCGGATCTTCGGGGCTGTGATTTTATACGGACATCTCGAAGCTCACAGGGCGGTTCTGGGTCTATCAGATCACCTGCCAAAATTACACCAACCGAACCCTCGCCGAACCCTAACCATCCCCCTCACCATCCCCCTAACCTTGGCTCAAGGCTCGGCTCAAGCTTGAGATGGAATTGTTGGGAAATGATATGATTTGGGATGCAACGTTTTCGTTATGTTTTAGTAATGTTCCTGGTAATGATAGTCAATCATTGTTCATGTTTCTAAAACGTTGAATTGGTGGCAGAGCGTTTTCTAGAGATGCCGCGTCCGCGTCAGGCCTTGTCTTCGTGCCCCTGACCATTCCCTTCATGGAAGCCGCATTTGGTGAGGCAAGTGAAGCACACGCTGTGTTATGTCTGGCATCGGGGACTCGTGCAGTTTGCCGACCTGGTGGTCTGGTGTTCCAACGTGTTCTTTACTCATCTTTACTAAAGCCTTTACTCATCTTTACTGATCTTTACATATCTCATGCAGAAAACATGTTCCAATTCCCGATCTCCTGACAGAACTTCGCAGAGAAAAGGCCGTCAGAGATGCCTGCAGAGTAAGGCAACCCAGAACCAGAGAGACGATGAACGACGCGTGAAGAAATTATCAGAAATTGCCAAAGGAGCTCAACCAAATCTTGAGAATGTAGGGAACACTCAGAGTTTTGTATTGAACACTTAGTGCTCTTTTGGCCACGGCCATGATTTGCCACATTGGACTCAGACTTGTGCAACTTTTGTTGCTGTATCTGATGACTTGTGTGGATTCCTTCAGTAACTTGAGCTATAAAAGCTATACTGGCTCTTTCATTTTGGGCAACTTCGCTCAAACCTGTCCCCCCGAGTCCGAGCCTTGAATTTTTGAGCGTCAAGGCTTCTCCAACTTCTGGACAATGGGATTCGCGAGTCAGGGACCTTGACATAGCTTGACATAGCTTGACATAGCTTGACATAGCTTGACATAGCTTGACCCCATGGGACGACCCAGTGCAACACACTGCCAGCATCCACCAGCATCCTACAACGAAGTATGTCGGAGTCCGAGTCGGAGTATGTCGGAGTGTCAACGCTTCGCGTGAGGTCATCAGATCACGAGCCTCTCGTTCTCATCCAAGTCCTGGCAAGCGAGCTGACGGTGACTTGGAGCACAAAAAGTCCAGCTGCTCCAGCTATGATTTGTGATAATTTGTGAAAAATTGTGAAATCTGAATTTAATTTGTGGAAATTACGGACGCGTGAGCATCAACTCACCCAGGTTGGATATTCTGAATTGGAGTACGAGGCGTGAAAATGCACCTGCCAGCGCCGAGCATGTCGACATGCCGACATGGCTCAAATACGGAGGTGTACAACTTGTACAACCGCCATCAACCGCCTATTCTTTCTTTGCGAGCTATGGAATCCGAATTGACACTCACCACAACCGCCTATTGGGAAACATTGGGAAGAGAACATTATCCAAATTGCGTTGAATTTATGAGGAAGGACGTATTTGGATGTATTTCGCAGAGCGCTTGATGACTTCTCAGACAGGTTGAATGGGATTTTACGAAGCGCAGGAGATTGTTTTATATTGTTTTCTTGAAGATGTCTTGAAGATGTCTTCTTTAACTTTATTTATTTCTAACTCTGGCATTTCCTTGCAAGAAGTGCGAAAAGAGGTGGGGCTTTCGCCAGTTATGGATTCGGTTTGTCGAGGTTCTACAGAGCTTCAATGGCACCAAGGCCGTTTCCATTGAACATATTGAACCAATCAAGCTGATTTCATTGATTTCATTGATTCAAATTGCCATGTTGGCATGTTGCCATGTTCATCCCTGTTCACGGTGCCATGCTGTGCCGGTTAAACTTGTGATCTGTCGAATAATTTATTGAAATTTATTTGGAATTCATTTTGAATCAATTTGATACACAAAATGTCCAAAATGTGACAGATAATGACAGATACAACACTCAAACCACTAGGTCCGGAACCTGAGACACCTTGCCGAACTGCTAGACAGAAGCCAGGAGATCTTAGCGAACGCTAAAACGATGTATCAACGGCAGACAGCACTGATCAGCACTATGTATTTTGAATTATAAAAAGAAAAACAGTTTGTGTTGCAGTTTGGCGTTTTGGTTTCGAGACTTCTTGCACATTCAAGCGCTACCAAGCATGTCCAGGATACTTATCAGTGGTTCAGCTTCACAAGCAAAGAGGCGAGCTCTCGTCCTTTCGAAGTTTGCTCACCGTAGGTTTATCATGGTTTAAAACCGGGTTATTTATCCATTTATCCATGTTTTCTCGTTGGTCCTCCCGTTGTTTCTCTCCGAGAGCTCCTCTCTGTGCAGATTGTGGTTCTGGAGCGGCTCAAGGCAATCCAGGCGCGATGCTGAGGGAAGCCTATCAATCTGATTCAACATGCATAAATCATAATGATATTATTATATGATTATATGAAAATTATATGAAAATTATATGCATATCAGATCATATCAGGATATATCAGACATATCACACCTGAAACGGCAAGATTTAGCCCCTTTGCAAAGAGCCTAGCACCGAACTCACCCAAATTTTTGGCAGTGCTTCCTTCCCTTCGGGCAGAGATTGTTGTGTCCGTGACGGTATCCTGTTTGCAGCCTTCAAACGCGAACAGAGGTGGGTAAAGAGGCAGAACAGCAAGTGCACAGCAAGAGCAACAGCTGCATCAAAATCATCAAACATGTTTTGATCGCAAAGAACTGACGGAAAACTGACGGAAATGCACATGCTGAATTGTACCTGGAGGGATTGTCAGAACAAACAGGTGCATCAAACTGTTGGGGATAGCCACAGCATTCCATGGCCCTACCATGGCCCTACCATGGCCCTAGGGATGTTATGATGTCATAATCCCTTAATGTCATTGTGGTCGCGACAGGCCTTACCTTCCATCCTTGCGCAGAACATGATCCCAACAGCTCGGTCTCTACAGCTGTGAGCGTGGCGAGCTGCGCGGCTGCGCCCTGTGTGGATTTCAGAGCCGATGGCATCCAGGGCATGCCACACCGATTCACACAGATGTCAGTCCAAAATACAAAGACCAAATAGATAGAATCAGATAGAATAATGACTTCATATGACTTAACAATACTTAATATGACTCAATATTATGACTTAAATAGACTCCACTATAACAATACCTGCACAGCTCACTGACACTGTGCTCTGTCGGCAATTGCCAGATGCTAGATGTAGGGAGGTGAACATGTCGAGTTTCTTGCCCTGCACGAGCAACATGCTTGCAGGAAAACTTCTGATGGCAGAAAAGATGCCAAAAACCCAGGACGAATTACTGGAGTACTGATGGAGTACTACAGAGTATCCACAGTGCCACGATGTGCCTAGAATTTTGTGGAGCTCCATAGGCTCCATACAGAAATCAGCAGACAGGCTCCCGAAAGGAGTGATCTTCCGGCTGCTGCAAAGCGCGTTGCAGCTTACTGCAACTTCACTTGAGTCTTCGCTCATCAAATCTTGTAAGATGTATTAAGATGTCACAGAATGTGACATAAAGTTGCCGTGTTGACGTTTTTAGTTGTACAGTTGTGACATGTGAAATATGTGAAATGCAGATGACGATTTAGCAAACAAGATTGTTGTGAAAGCATGTGAACCGTCTCCATGGCGGAGATCAGCTCATCTTCCACATGTCCAGATCGGGGACACATGCTGCAGAAATCTGCAGAAGCTTACTACATCTTACTACATTTGTCCGAAGCATCACCAGAATCACCAGCTGTTCGGTAGCACAAGTAGCACAGAAAGCTGAAACTCCTAAGGCTGCTCAGCTGAATTAAACCTTTTTTTTAGTTCTTGGCCCAGGCCTTACCAGTAGTAGAACCGTTCTCAACTGATACCTGGGACCCCATTTTCTCAACCATGGACCTTTGGGTTTCTCCTTTGCCGCCTGGCTCGCGCATTTCGCTGGTGGCCTACATCAATGAGTTCAAGGATGGCACTTGCTTTTGCACTGGCCTCTCGCCCCAACAATCTTTTGTAGTCACTGGCGCTGCTGCGCTTGCACCAGGGCTTTACTCATTCTATGACTTAGAGAGAGCACAGGAGGACTCCGCATGTCAAGTGGTGGACGGAGTGACAGAAATTCATGTCCATCATGAGAAGGATCTTTTCACACATGTTACTGTTTTGGATTTTTGCTCTGGAATGGGTGGATTTTCAATCGGTTCTCAGCTCTTGGGAATGCGTACGGCCATTTTTGTTGAGAAATCAGCATTGGCATGTGAAGCATTACGGGCCAACTTTGCCAGCCCAGTCATTGAAGGTGACATTGGTGATGTTGATACACTGAAGAAAATTCATCCACTGATAGGTGCAGGATACCTGCAGGCAACAGGAGGGTTTCCATGTCAAGGCTTCTCTTTGCAGGGAGATCAACAGGGCATGAACGACCATCGTAGCCATAGCCTGTATGCCATCCTGAGAGCATCCTGGCTTCTCCAGGTGGATGACATCCTGCTGGAATGTGTTGCCAACGTGATTCATTTCCCCTTGGCACAGCAAAGCATTGATGATTTTGCCCAGCTGACGGATATGCACATTTTCAAACTCATTTTTGACCTCCAGGACCAGTGGCCAGTCCGACGCAACCGTTTCTGGTGTAGAATGATGAGAAAAACAGTGCCCAAGGTTGAAATCCCTCGGTGGCCAACAACTCAATGCTATCGAAAGTTAGGGGACATCATGCCGCTGGATGCAATCTGGGATGAACTCATTGAGCACCAACTGGAATGGGATCCAAGTGAATTGGCCATTTATCTGGATCCATGCTACGGCGCAGATCAAAGAGTTCTCCTTGATCATGACAAAGCTCCAACAGTCCTGCACTCATGGGGACATGTCAATCGACCTTGCCCTTGCGGATGTCGTGCAGCTTTCAGTGTCGCCCGACTTCGTTCAGGAGGAGCACGAGGTTTTGGCCTGATCTCCTCACGAACAGGCCGTCACCGTCATCTTCATCCTGAAGAAGGTGCCATGCTATGCACAGTGCCACCGACATTCCACTTTCCAATGCCACCAAGATCGGCACTCAGCTTGCTGGGACAAATTGCAGCTCCACTTCAAGTGGTCTGGGTTCAAGCACATGTGCTGGCGGGACTTCAGATGCATTTTTGGGGATGGACTGGCATTGATCCTCAGCAGATTCTCACTGTCTTGCAGCAAGAGCTGGCCGCTCACGCTTTCCATAGATGGATCACACCCCAGCACTCTGAGCCCAGACTGGTCTCTCTGCAGATCGAAGGTGAGAACACCATCTACGAGATCCGCATCAATTGCCCCACCACAGTGCAGGACCTGATCCAGGCCGAACGGAAGCTGGCAGGATGGGGGCAATATGCGATCGTCACTCATCAAGGCCAAAGATTGCATCCCAACACTCAGCTGCAACCTGGAGTGCTTTATCACATCAGGATCTGTACCAGCAAGCAGGTGAGAACGTTTCCTGATGACATCCAACTTCTTGGAGGAGGACCAGGTGACATCT